TATCCACCTGGTAACATCATCATAAAAGATCTAGACCAATCAGATCTAACTGTTACAGCAAATCTAACTACAACTTACAATCCATTTTATCTAAGTGCTTGCATTAGAGAAAGCAACCACAAAAGACAAGAAGAATCTATTTTTAAGTGGAAACAAAAATATAAGTAAAGCTCAGCTCTGGATCCAGGGCTAAACAGAAGTATCTAGTGTTAAATTTGCAATGAGAACAAGAATTCTGGTTGGTGACCAGTGTTTCCAGTTGACAGGTGGGAGCAGCGAATGCTAGTGCTGGTGCCTTTCCTGACAGCTTGTGTTTGGTCTTTTTCCAGTATGCCACGACAGGCTGCTCCCTGACACTCCATCACACAGAAAAGCCAGAACACGAAGACATCTGTGAGTATCGTCCGTACTCCTGCCCGTGCCCCGGTGCCTCCTGTAAATGGCAGGGATCCCTGGAAGCCGTGATGTCCCACCTCATGCATGCCCACAAGAGCATTACCACCCTTCAGGGAGAAGACATTGTTTTTCTTGCCACAGACATTAACCTTCCCGGGGCAGTCGACTGGGTGATGATGCAGTCATGCTTCGGCCACCACTTCATGCTGGTGCTGGAGAAACAAGAGAAGTACGAAGGTCACCAGCAGTTTTTTGCCATCGTGCTGCTCATCGGTACCCGTAAGCAAGCGGAGAACTTTGCATACAGACTGGAGCTGAACGGCAACCGCCGCCGGCTGACCTGGGAGGCGACACCCCGCTCCATCCACGACGGGGTGGCCGCGGCCATCCTCAACAGCGACTGCCTAGTTTTTGATACGGCTATTGCACACCTTTTTGCTGACAACGGAAACCTCGGCATCAACGTGACTATTTCTACGTGTTGTCCGTGATGTATTTGCGTAGCTAGCGAAACCTAGGCTGTCCGGACATAGCGCTTTACATTCACCAAGGGTTTGCTTTTTGTTCTGTTTTTTTTTAATGATATTCAACTATCTCATCATGTATGCTAAGGTTCCTGACTAGCCAACATTTTTAACTTTGGAGAGAAGAGAAACAAAAGTGTCCTGTAAGTAACATGAGTGGGAAAATGTCTTTTTAAATTCTTGGGTGCCTTAGGAAGATTCCACACACGCAGTCACCTTTTTTAATTTAATTATATTTTATTTAAAGAGTGCTTCCATTAGATATGTGGCTTAAGGGACTTGAAGGACTGCATTCCTGTTTGGAGTGCACCTAAAAGCCCTTTCAGTTTTTTTTAGAGACTTGCTCTCTCACTGGTTTTCAGTAGGTGGGAAAGAAATTCAAGCAACCCCTTACACGAGAAGTTGTGGCTCAAAGGGGAAAAAAAGGTACTTTAGCATTGCTGCTCCATTTCCTGCTACCTTATTAAAAAGGGATGGACATTGGATTATTTGCTGCATTTAAAAAAAAAAAAAGGGGGAGGAGGGGCTGGGGTAAAGCATAGCGGGTTTCACAGAGCATGGGAATTGCTGGCTCCTGCCCGTTTTGGGGGCCTCAGTGATCAGTGAGCCCAGCACACGGCACAGCCGCTCACAGCCAGGTCCTGGTGGAAGCAGGAGGCCCACAGCTCATGTATCTCAAGCAGCTAGAGCCAGTGATAGAGAAATATATCCAAGCTGCCCACATGCAGCTTCCCTGGGAGACATACTTGATTATTGTAAAAGACTAATAATATAGCAAGAGCTCTATGGCCAGTGTCGCGTCATTTGCTATTTAAGTTTTGTTGCCATATTTACTTTTATTTTGTAATAAATATTTTGCAAAAACTACCCTGCATAGCATGCTGTGGTAACACGTGTGCACGTGGCAGTATCTGCTGCTTCCCGGTTACTCTGCGTTACCTCCTGTCTGAATCACTCCAGAAAAGTGCCTGGCAGCAGTCCCCAGAAAACTGCACGAGAGAATGACAAGGACCGCATCCGCGAAGGGAAGCTTGTTACAGCCATGAAAATTTGGAAGAGACCACAGGAAGAAACCTCCCAAGGACTTTGATCTCTTTGTACCCGGTTCCTATAAAGATCCTACATTTAATCTCATTTACACTGTGCTGGCTGAACTTCAGCAGCATCAGCCGAGTGAACTAATTAACTCCTGCTTAGCAGGATCAAAGTCAGGCTCTAGCAGGTGTTAACACCTGTGCTTTCAGCAGAACTTGTTAAGCAAGAACTCCTGAGGATTTGATTCATTTTCCCAAATTTCAGCAACATTTGTAGTGGAAGATATTTTTTTTACTGACAGGCGGGATATAAGAGCCTTTTTGTGTAAAACAAACCTCTGAAGCGTGTTTTTCATTGTAGTAGGATTAGTGAAATTGGTTACTCCCATGTTGCCTACAACCCACATTAGATTAGTTAACACACATTATTTCATTAGGTCTTTCCACACCATTCAGTTCTGAAAGAATTACAAACTTCCATTGTATCTCACAGCAAAAAAAAAACAACAAGACAGTATCTTTTCTGACTGAAACTGAATTTAGAATTTTGGACATACCAGCTGAGGTATTCCTCAAGTGATGTGTTTCATCTTCAGATCAGTGAATGAGCAGGTGACGTTCATTCCAGCACTCAATGGAAGCGTTTCAGCTTTTCTTCCCTTCACAGCAGAGCACAGCACAGCTGGTCCAACTTCCCGAGGGCCAGTGGCAGGAGAGGCTTGCAGGACACCAGCACCTTGCCAAAGGCAGTGGAGCACATCAGTAAATGCATGAAAGTTCCTCAAAATATTCAGAAAAGAGTTGCTGAGGCCAGCCTGGTTTTCTTAACAAAACCAACTACCACCAAAGGAGCCTGACTTTGAAACGGACGGTGAAACAAACTCGGCCCAGAGCTGGCAGCAGCAAGGGAACGGCAGCAGGCAGACCCCCTGCTGCGGGGAGCAACCCCACCACCCACCACCCCCCTCAGCTGTGCCCCAGCACCCCGCGAGCGGTGAACTGCAGGAGCTGATACCAGCAACAGAGAGCTGTGCCTACGAAGCAGCTTTGCTCTTGAGTCACTCAACACTGTGTTGTTGACAGTTATTCCTAAAAACAATTTACACTTTAAACACAAAAATGCAAAAACTCCTAGGGACTGATTCATTCAAGAGTGGCACAACTTGAGCAGTTCCTGCCCATGCTGGGCTGGGTGCTGTTAGGATGGGTGCTTGCCTCCACTTGTGCCCAGCACTGCAGCAAAGGCTGGGGCAACACCAGGAGCT